ACTGTTCTGTACCCTCTTACAGGCATATGTCATGGGCAACTCTTCCTGTCAGTACTTAGAGAACTATGTCATTACTAATGGTCATGCTCTTCGTCAATGCATATTGTTTGTATAAGTTCTTTACTTATCCCCTATGAATGTATGTTTTCTCATTATTTTGAAACATTCTATGTATGAATCATCTTTTTACAATTACATGGTTAATATCCTAGGGTGTAGTCTAGGACATGGAATTTCTGTGTCAAAGTTAAGGAATAACTGCTGTAATGTTATATATGACAAATGATTCTTCCAGAAAAGTTGAAGCAATTTTCATTACAGCCAACAGTGCATGAATGTATCCATTTCCCTATACTCAATTTGACAGAATATTTATAAAATTCATGAAAATTTGTGTCAATATGCTAAATCTAAATGTGTTGATTTTATTTGTAGAACAAAAATGTGGATTTCATTCATATAACTTCAGTAAGGACAAACATCTTTTCATACTTATTAAGATTATGTATATAATTTTAAATATCTTATATCTCATATATATATATAAACTTATACATAATATATATATTTTTTTGAATGTGTTTTTGGCTCACATTTTCTGTTGGCTTGTCTTTCCTTTTTTAAAAGAATTCCCCCAAATTTTATGTGAGTTCTATGAATAATAAAGTTATGAACTATTATATGTCATATGAGTTATAAATATTTCCTTCATTCAGCTTGTATGTTTATTATTTATTTATTTAGGGACAGGGGATTGAACCCAGGGTGCTCTATCACTGAGTTAAATACTCATCCTTTTTAAATTTTTATTTTGAGATAGGGTCTTATTAAGTTGCTGAGGCTGTCCTGGAACTTCCAATCCACCTGCATCAGCCTCCTGAGAGTCATCGGATTATAGGCATATGCCACCACACTCAGTAAATTATTTAGTATTTTTATATACTTTACATCAGAAAAATTAAAAAAATTTTTTCATAACAGGAATTGTGTTTTACAACAAAAATATTTTGGATTTATTATGATTTGAGATTCTGATTTTCTTATATGGAATACAAGACTAAAATTCCAAACTATCTCTTATATATTAATCTATTATCTTAGTATACTTCTACTTGAATTATGTCTTTAGAATAGGGACATAAAATTACAATTAATGAGCTTGCTGTTCTTATGACAGAAGTAGTTTTCTCTGAATCTGGGTCACCACTAAACACATAAGATTGGCGAATTTAAGATAAACTACTTAAAATTTAAGAAATCTAAAAAATGAGAAAAATGCATTTATACATTTATTATGAAAATTTATAGAGCATGTTAAACTTTACAAAAACATTTTCACTATTTAAAAAAATTTTTTAGTTGTTGATGGACCTTTATTGATTTTTTTTTTGTGGTGCTGAGAATTGAACCCAGTGCCTCACCCATGCTAGGCAAGTGCTCTACCGCTAAGCTACCACCCCAGCCCCATTACCTATTCAATTTTATTTGCTTCTTAGAACCACCCTAAGTTGGATACCATTATGTATTTTTTATATGTGAAAAACAGGCTGGGAAAATGAAATAAAATCTTTTTCTGACATAAAATTAACAGACCTAATGTGCATAGGATACGGTCAGGATTTGAATTCAGGTTTTTTGAGGGCAAATTATATACTATTCTTATTTAATGGTCTTCAATCCTAATTTTGATTTTACAGTATAATAAAAATGAAAAGCAGGTGCTTAATGGCAAGCTTGTCCAATCATCTGTGGATAAGTGACTTCTTAAACTGAACAATGTGACATAAAGATATTTTCATCGTACCTACAGAAGGAATTCTGACAACCACAGGTTTGATGCATTTTGAGCACTTAGCTAAGAGTAGAAGAATGCATTATATTGTCACTCTTGCTTTAGAAATTTTAGCCAAAGAAATGAGCTAATTCCCTAGTCACACTCCATAGCTGCTGAGAAGCTGCACCGTCATGTCCCTGATGAATTCCCCCATGGAACTAATTACTTGGAGGAAGGAAGGAGGCATAGATGAGCATCCCTTGTGGAATATGCTCTTGTACCACACAGCTTCTCCTTAACCTACCAAGGTACCAGGAACTGCTATTTTCCTAAGGAGGCCATGTCAATTCTGATATTAAGGGCTATCACATTAATTAAACAGAATCTGAAGGAAGGGACACTGCTAGGAGAAACCAGAATTCACCCAGCACTCCTAGAAGTGAAATGTAACGGCCTGTTACCTGAAAATGGGTGTATGTCTTGATATTGACCTAATTCTCATCCATTAAAAAGCTCCTGGCCATCTCGCCACTCCCCACAAGCCTGCTTTCCAGTGACCTCCCAGACAAATCCCCAAATAATTCCCCAACTCAGTGAAGTCTCTTTAGACTCTCTTTGGAGATCTTAGCATAAAAGAATTTCCACAGGATATTCTATCACCTCTTTCCTCTTTGTGTTTTCTCCCAGTGGAAATTTCCTTGGTTCTTTCTCTAACACATTAACTATAGTGTAGTTTTCCTTAAAGCATTTTCTGAGAGAAAAATTCTGTATAACTGTTTCTATTTCTGGCTTAGAAAAATCAGAATTCTTAGGACAGAGAAGGAAAAAATCAGATATTATGCATTTGGTGTATAATATAAATTATTATTTTTTCAATAATTTAATTTTGTTAAAACAGGTATCAGTGTAGCTTTAGGTAAATGGCATCTGTGGCTACATTTTTTCCTGTCTGTTCCTACCTACTGTCAATATATCTTCTGTTTACTTCATATAAGGTCCTTTGTCTGCCTATTTGCAAGTATATTTCACAATAGGTCTTTCAAAACCTCATTATTTACTTTTTAATACCCAAGAGGTAACTTCTCTCCTGAAGCATTATGATACCTAAGACAAAACAGAATGCTCTTGAGAAAATGATTACACAACTTACCAATAAAAACACAGGATGTCCACTTAGGCTTACAGTTCAGATAAACAACAAATAATCTTTTGGTATAAATATACCCCCAAATATTGCATAATTCTTTATGGGACATAGTTATGCTAGGTGCAATGTCATACCAAAATTATTAAAAATAAATATTATTAAAAAACTAAACAATTATTTGCCTTTCGAAACTCAGATGTAATTAGGTATTTTGTATGTCAGGCAACACTACCTGAGGCCAGTTTTCCAATTCTACAGGACCTGAGGTGCAGTAAGTCAGAAAAGAAGCATGGTTTTCAACTTTCACATGAAGTCAGCATCTTCTCCCATAGAAATGGCACAAGAAGGGATATTAGTTCAAATATATGCACCCCCCCACCTCAGGGCTGACCCATTCTGACATCTGAGAATCAGAGCACAAGATAAGATATATCTGTTTAACAGTATTTCCTAAATCATCGATTGAAGCTACTCACAGCTTCTTCTGGAGGCATGCATTTTAATTAATTGCTATTCTATTGTACTTCCTCCTCCCCAAGGTGATTTAAAAATCTTAACTCTATAAATCTAACTAGTAAATTTCTGGATCTATTTCAATGTTGACATTTAAAAAAAATTTAGGATTGCATTAAGCTTCAATGAGCCATAGGATAAAGCAAGATAAATAAAATATAATTGCCATTGAAGTCCATAAAAATAAAAAGTTCTCCAAAGTGTTAAACTAAAACAAAATTCCATGCAAACATTGTGTATAAATCATATCTTATGGTTCGACCAAGTTTAACCAATATTGGTTAGAGTTCCAATGAGTCAGTTTTAAAAAGTAAATATGCCAAATTCCAAACTTGAAACTGGAATCTTATTGTTCTCTAAGTTAACCTGTTTATAAGCCTCAGAACTAAAATCAACAATTTTTCAATAGTTGGATGACATCTTTAATGAAGGAAGTCTATACCAGGCATCACAGCTACACTGCCATCTACTGACCTTATTTTTTTTAGAAATGACTGTTAGTTCTACCTCCCATCCTGGTTCTCATTTATAAAAACTGATAGGGTCTGCGTTTTAGGTGGGGAGGAAGAAGATCTGTAATAGTTTTGTTACCACTCCCCTCAAAATTCTGTAGCAGTGTAGTAGATTAAATATGGTGCCAAATTCTTTGCTCTTCTTCACACTGAGAAGTAAAGTCTAATTTTCTTCCCTTCAGTATGAATTGGTTTTAGAAACTTTTTTTGATCAATAGAATGTAGCAGAAGTGGCTGGGAGTTTCCTAAATGTTTCATGAGGAGTCTCTGGTTTCCACCTAGGCCTCTGAAAATACACTATGTAACTACCTGAGACCACAGCAGGATGCTGGGAGCTCCCACCCAGGCCCTCTAGTAGGCTGATCTAGTGGAGCTCAACTGTCTGGCCATTCCCTGTGGGTAGACTGTGAGTAGAGCCATTTGGCCCCTTCACCCTGGCACACCTGCCAACTGAATAACAAGGAAAGGCTACTGATTCCTCTGGGGAACAGGACAGCCTGGCCGAACCTGTTGGAATTCGTGGCCCATGAAATCCTGATGTAAGCAAGTGGTTGTCATTACAAAGTTTTAAAGAAGCTCGTTGAACAGGAATAGATGGCCCAAACAAACAGTGATTGTTATGCTTTAAAAGTAACAGAATGAAGGAAAAGGAAAGAAGGCTGTGCAAAGGGAGAAGGTGAAAGGGGAGGAGTGGAATAAAATTCCAAAGAGGAGAACCATAAATGCCTTGGACACCAATAAAAGAGGAGTTGGGGATGTAGAAGACCTACAGTGAGTTTTAAAAAAATCAGAGTCAAAAATGTTTAGCAGGCTGCTACGGTGATTTTGGACAACTCACAACTTTGGCCCAACTTCTTAGAGATTCAGAGAGGAAACAGCAGTCATGTTCCACCTCATGAGGCAATGAATAAACATGACAAATAAATATGCAGAAAATAAGAGCTAAAAATGATAAATATGTAAGAAGCAATCTTTGTTCCTACAAAAAATCTTTCATCAGGTGATTTCAAATTAGAAGGAGTCTCAGGAGAAAATAATACTGGAAATATGAACCGATTTTTATTTTTGATGCTTTTATTGAAAAGGTACATTTAAAAAATACACAGACATTTTACCATTTACAGATTGCAGATATAGATACTCTAAAAGAGTTCACTATTTTATTGTTTTATGATACTTCTTGCCCCTGATATCACAAATATTCTAGTCTTGTTGATACCAACTTCGAAAGGGGGGCATGGGAGCATGACCTGCAACATATTCAGTGAACAGAAAGACAAATTGTTCAATTATAAATTTTATATCTTCTGTACATTATTGCATTAGGGAGCCACAAAATTATGTAGCATCATTACAAATGAAAACAGGTTAAAAATGAAGATAATTACGTAGAAATACATGGATTCATTGTCTTCTTGCAGAATGCACAGGAGGTGCCAAAATGTGCAATTTAGGAAGCTCTTTTTGTGTTTGTATATATTTGCTTAGCAACTCAAACCAGTGAGGAAGCTACAAAATAAGTTAGACAAAAATAGCAAACAGATAGTAATTATAGCTATGTTATATGGCTTTCTATTTTGTTTAAATATCTCCAAATAAAATATGAAATAAAGAAAATACATTATCTTTTGTTCTCTTAACGAGAAATTCAAAGCTATTTTGCTTCCTAACATTTACACAGCAACTAAAGATGTTGAATTCAGACAAGAGATACAATCTAGTACTACACAGGATACAACAGTACTTGGGTCTAAAACAGTACACAATCCCTGTCGACGAGAGTACACCAAAAAGAAAACGTGATCCGTTGGTAAGATGGTATTCACAAGTAAGCACTTGTGTTCTATTTTTCTTCCACACTAGAATATGCCCGGTTGGATTCCAGAGCTATTTACAGACATCTGAGGAAGATCCTAGTTTTCAAGTCTGTCAGGAAAATATTCCATATTGTTCTAAGCCAGATTATACCCATGGGAAAACAGAGACTGGTTTTCTTTTTCTTTACTTTATGACTGTACATTTTCAAGAACCCAGATTTCTCAGATATACCAATTAAATGGGGTCGAGTTGGGGAGGGAAGAGGGAACCTGTGTTACTCACATTCCAAAATGATTTGATCGGTCCATAAAAGCACTCTTGAATCTAGTGATTTGTTTTTCACTGGAGCTGGGGTTTCAGGTGGTAGGCTGCATTTTGTGGGTAGGTGAGATACTTACTGTAACACAAAATGCTCAAGTTGCTGAAATCCTTTTGGCTTGGCTTCTCGACTTTCCTACTGGCCTGGCTGGTCTTGGGGCTTGCAGATGTCAGTATGGGGCAAACAGGATGGAGGCCGGAGTGGCACGGATGGGCCCGTGCCCTGGCCTCAGGAGAGCTGGAGGGATGGCTGGAGCCTGGAAGAGCGAGGCAGATGGCCGGGGTGGCAGTGACAGTGCAGAGGACACAGCTGCTGCTGCTGCCAGGGGTGAGGACAGGAAGGCTGGGGCCAAAGGTTTCATCATATCTTTCTGGAATGCAAGTTTTGCCTAATGAGAGGAAAAAGACCAGGAATGGGGTGAGCAGGTTGTTGTCGAATAACAGCACCACAGAGAAGTCTTAAATTTAAAATCTACTTTCAGGAGTGAAGAGATGATTATTTTCCCCAAGCTGGTGTCAGTGTCTTTTAGTATTGATATAGTTTTATTTTGAATTGTTCCCATTTCAAGTCTTTCTTTGGTCTTTGATCCTGGATACTAGGGCACAGGGCATCTCTATGAATAGACACAAAGGGGCTCAGCAAGAAAGAAATGAAACAAAACATGCCCAGAAGATTCCTGCTTAAGCAATGGATCTCATTTCAAAATTCACACTTATGTTAAACCACCTTGTAGCTTAGAGAAAAGTTTCTTGCTTTTTCTTTTATTTTTTTTAGAAATACGACCCTTCACATCACTGCTCTTGGATAAACTGAAATTTAGGTAAGTAACTGAGTTCATTCAGGACATTAGGGACCCAGGAAGAGTAAAAAGACAAAAAAAAAAAAAGTCAATTCCTTCCTTTTCCTGGCCACATAATGAGAATTTCTTGAAAAATTAGCTAAATTAAGTATCTGTTACTGGGAATAACTATTAGTGGACTAGAAACTTTCTCTATTTAAAGGAGTCCAGGGTAGAATCTTCATGTGAAGTAGGAAAATAATCCTTAATTTCTCTCTTTTGCAGTCAGAGGAGTTGTGCAAGATGGGTATGCCTAATGCAGATACCACCAGCTTGCTGCAGAAGCCAAGGTTTTGGAGAAGCTGGAAGGTAAACTCAGCACCACCTCCAGCTGGCCAATCCCAGCTTCATCTCAGACTGAATACCATGCTGGGCCAGGTCCCAGGGAGAGTGTGAAATCCATCCATCTGGGTATTTATATGACACCTACTGCTGAAGTTCCTAGGTATTTTTGCAAAACACAGAAAACTGTACATATTGAGAACAGGTAGGATAGGCCGATCACCAACATGCCTGCTAGAATGGAATATAAACACTACTTTCTTGCATACACGTGCACTCGCGCCCCGCCCCCCCCCACACACACTGGAAACACAGGGATATTAAACTAAATGGATGGATTTTTGTTTTATGAAAGCAACCTCTCTGCCGGGTTCCACACATCCCAGGATTCCTCAGGCATCACTTGCCCTGTCCTGAGTCTTTGCTTTTCCTTATATAGTAAAGAAGATAGTCTTCTGACAAGGTCTTGGTAAAGAGTAAGGTATTAGTTATTCTTTAATTTTATTTTTTATTTTAAGACAGGGTCTCCCCCTAAGTTATGAGGCTAATGTTGAATGTGCAATAATTCTGCTTCAGGCCCCCAAGTAGCTGGAATTACAGGCATGAGCCACCATACCCTGCTGGGCATTAACTCTTAAAGAGGTTCAGTTTTTCTTTCCTAAAGGAGCTTTCTTCAAGATGTCCTTATAGCAGGAACTAAGCAGTTCATTCTAAAATTTCTGTCTATGTAGGTTGTTTAAATTCCCAGCCTTTAGGTTCGGGTGTACTTTAGTGGTAGAGCACATGCTCAGCATGTGTGAGGTCCTAGGTTCAATCCCCAGCATGGTCAAGATAAAATAGATAAATTCACAACCTTCCCATGACTATTAGTCCCTAGGTCCTCCTTACAGCTCCTGCCCAACCCAGCAAGGCTGCCCTCCCCAAAAGGTGAGCAGGTGAGTGAACTTACTGCTAAAATGCTTGGGCTCCGCTGGAGTTTGTTGTAAGGGCTGTATTTCGGCTTCAGTGGCTTCCCTGCAACTCGGTCTTTATGCCTCCGGCTAGAAATGTGCTGAAAAAATGTTTGATGCATAAGCTAAATCCATGAAAGATACATTTCCTACATAGAGGTTGCTGGTTTCTCCATTCCAGCTCTTGGTTCATCCTTCTAGAATGGTTTGGGTAAAATCTTTACTACCTCCTTTAAGACCTGCTTCCCCCTCCCATTGTTCTCCATGACCTTCTCCTTTCCATCTTTTGTTTTCTATAGGCCTTATCAGATTTTTTTCTGGTGTTTCCACTGTTACTGAAGAATCTCTCTACCTAGACTTTGAGGCCTTGGCAGACTTACCAGTGGCTTCTGCTGGACTGTAAGCTCTGTGTGGTTTTTATGTCCATCCTTCTATCCCTAACACCTATCCTGGAACCTGACATAAGTAGTAGTAGATGCTCCATTACTGGATACTGACTTTCTTTTCCACAGAGAACTTTTATGTTGCATAAGTTATGCATCCTATAAAGGTTAGTAAAGTTAACTGTGAGCACAGTGAGAACCACTCTGTAGATGAGGAGGAGATAGAGATCTTCAAGTAGTGACCCCAAAGAGCAGAGTACACTAATTTCATTACCTGTTTGAGTTGAATTTCCGAGTTAACATGAACATCACAGATTTCACAATGAAATGTCTTGTTCTGTAGTCCTGACCCCTTATTGCCATTCTGCATCTTTAATCTTGATCCAGGTCTAGGATAGGACTTAATTGGACCAGCTCCATTACGAGCCTCAACCATGGTCTTGTGTTTAGATCCTAAAATAGAAAAAGGCATATATTAAACAGCTATTTAAGAACTATAGGAAGCAACTTCTATCTCTCTCTCTCTTTGTTTACTTTTTCCTGTCTTTGTTGTCATTGTCGTCGTCTTTTTTGGTACTGGGAATTGAACTCAGAGGCTTTTTATCACTGAGTTACATCACCAGCCCTTTTTATTTTTTATTTTGAAACACAGCCTCACTAAGTTGCTGAGGCTAGTCCCAAACTTATAGTCTTTCTGCATCAGCCTCAAGTAGCTGGATATAAGCATGTAGCCTAGCATGAAGCTCTTTATTTTCTTATCCTTGAGAAGGTTATCTTCAGACTGAAGTTCCCAGTGCCTTTTTAGCATCATTTTTACACTAATTGTAAGTTTAACATTTTTTCATTGTAACACATGGGAAACCATGAGTGTATAATACAATATCCAAAATATTGAGAAAATAAAGATTACCTAGAGTTGTACCACTATAGGTAACCACGGTTATTAGAGTTTTTTATTTTTTTTTGCTATGCTAACAAATATGTTTTTTCAGAATTTGGATTTACTAATTAAATATCCTGAAATTTTCAAATATCAAATCATGTATTTATTTTCTAATAATTACATTTTATTGATTAACATATTCTATCATTTTTGGTTACTATAATTTATTCATTATTTCCTTATCGATAAGCTGTTGATTCTAATTTTTCTCTTATAAAGTGTGTGGCAGTGAATATTGCATAAAACTTTTTGTCTTCATCTCTATTACCTCATCAAAAATGAGTTATGGAGCCAGGGGTGGTGGCACATGCCTGTAATCCCAGCAGCTCAGGAGGCTGAGACAGGAGGATCGCTAGTTCAAAGCCCACCTCAGCAAAAGCAAGGTGCTAAGCAATTCAGTGAAACTCTGTCTCTAAAAAAAATACAAACTAGGGCTGAGTATGTGGCTCAGTGGTCGTGTGCCCCTGAATTCAATCTCCTGGTACCCACCCCCGAAAACAAGTGAGTTATGGAAAGTATCTGATGCTTTTGAGGGAATGAAGACTAGAATAAGTTTTATCTTTAAACTGCCTTTGCTTTGTTATGTCCAAAGATACTATGATCATACTTTTAAAAATCATTCCTTTGAACTCAAATGGTAGAGAAGATACTATACACACTTCATACCTGAACAACAGAGTGACATTCTGATGGGAAAAGCTGGGTTTTGTTATAAACATTATTTCAATTTGAAAGATAGCTGCTAACCTGTGTTGTGTGCCTCTAGCTGTGACAGGGAGTTCACAGCCACTTTGCATAGTGAACAATAAAGCAATTTTTTGGCTTTCTCTTCTTCGGATTCAGCAACAGACCCTGGTGCTCCATTTGTGCTTTTGGAGGGCGAAGTGGCTGTCCCAGGTGGCAGGGCAGTTGTGCCAGATTTGAGGAGAAATGAGCCACTTTCAGAGCATGATGGCTGACTGGAACTATTGGCTTTCAGCTTTCCTTTATCTTCTAAGGGAAACACAGGGTTATTAAAGACTCATATATCATACAATCATATTAAATCACCACCAAGGAATTAAAAACAAATTTGAAAAATTGAAAAACAAAATAGAAACTCTCTCAATATATACATAGTTTTTACTTTAGTGCAGATTTGAGATCATAGAGTTTGATCTAAACAGAATTCCATGCCACTGGTTTCCATATGAGGTTACCCCAAGATCATGATAACTTCTCACAAAATGACTTTGTTCTCCCTTTAATAAAGCAGGTAATTTTCTGTCTGATTTCCTGGAGTTATAAGTTATGCTCCAGGGAAGTCTTTAATATATAACAACATCAGCTACCCTCCAATATGATTACATGATATGATGGCAACAGGAAAGAAGTTATTAGGCAATGTTAGTTTAATTTGACTACTCATGTTTTAATTATGACATGGATATAAAGTTAAAATTGAATTTCTATACCAAGTTAAATTTTTAACTTTGGCTTATAAAGTAGAGAAGAGGGAAGATTAGTTAAGGTTTTGCTCTTTGGCAATGCAATTTGTCTAAAAACAAAAGACAAGGTTCCATTCATTATGCTTATTAGTTACTGCCAGTCAAAAAAAATTTTAAATAATGACATAAATCATAAGCACAATATGAAGATTAATCAACTCATTTAAAGACATCTTGGCATTTAGATCACATAGCTACTAAATGCTTATAATCCTCAAGGCCCATGTGCGTGCAGTGAAGGGTCAAAGTGACTTTAACAGTATCTACCTCCTCAGTATTCATTTGCTATTCAGGACAGTCTTTGTTCAGTGACTCCTATGGGAAAGAAATGAGTTTTGTTGGCAACAGCAAGAGCTGGTACTCAGAAAATGTGTATAGACATGATGATTAACTCTCATTAAGAGAGAAAGGGAATTAAAACTGAAAATACATTTGTTAATTGCCCTAATTCAGAATTGGACACCATTGGCCTGGATGATCAAGAGGAAACCTTCCCAAGTATCTAGGGAACAATAACCAATTTTGTGTTTCTGTTTCTGGTATAAGGTTCTACATATGGTTTGTGAATCAGCAGTTGAGTTTCATCTTTTTTCTGATCCATCCATCCATGTGAAGACCAACATAGTAAGGGTGCTACAGGGGGACTTGAGATCTGAGGTTGTTTAGAATATATAAGTGCTGAGATCTTTCCTTACCCTCTGCATTCCATATGTCCTTTCAGCAGGTATATTACAACTTCAGATGAAATGAAGTATTATGGAAAAGTTCTTGATTTTTTATAAGCTGACCTCAATAGTATGAGAGAAGGAAATAGAATCATTCTTTCTAATTGGTAATAATGAGTAAATTAGCCTGGGATTATTTCAGATCTGTAACTCTTTCATCTATAAGGATTTCTCAGATTGAATTTGTAATCTTATAGAACTCACAAAGCAGAAAAATAATTCAGTAATTTTCATATTTTCCCCTTTGGAATTACCCAGTTTCTTGTGATGAATACTTAAGTTATTACACACCAAAATCTTTCCTTGCTTTAAGCATTTCATTTGGTGTGTCATTTAAATTTGACCTGAAAGAATCTGATCTATTTCAGTCATTTACTCATACAATCCCTCATATTACCCTTTTAATGTTTCTTATACTAATTTCCCTCATATACCCTTACATTTGTATACAACTTTACAGTTCACAAAGTGCTAATACTTACATTATCTTATGTTCTCTCAAAACAAATTAGAATAGGTATGGCTGAAAATAATTTTTCTTATTTTTAAGATGAAGAAACTGAAATTTATCAAGATTAAATAATGTACCACAAATTAGAAGGCAGCATAAATGAGCATGATGTTTTCTCTAACTGATCGTCATTGGTGACTAACCTTCCTGAGTGGAGGGGGAGGGGTGTAATGTATCATTAATATTATGAAAGCACATGACAATCACTGTAGATGTGAAATAACTATTGCTTATACCACTGCCATTTAGTTTTAAAGCATATTACTCTTAAATGAATGATTCTATACCTAGAAGACCCTAAAAGTTCCACCAGAAAACTTCTAAAACTAGTAAATGAATTCAGCAATGTAGCAGAATATAAAATCAACACCCATAAATCAAATGCATTTCTGTGAATCAGTGACAAATCCTCAGAAAAGGAAATGAGGAAAACTATACCATTTACAATAGCCTCAAATCAAACAAACAATAAAATACTTTGGAATCAACAAAAGAGGTGAGAGATCTATATAATGAAAATTACAGAATCCTAAAGAAAGAAATCAAAGAAGACCTTAGAAGATGGAAAGATCTACCTTGCTCTTGGATAGGCATAATTAATATTATCAAAATGACCATACTACAAAAAGCACTATACAGATACAATGCAATTCCAATCAAAATCCCAATGGCTTTCCTCATAGAAATAGAAAAAGCAATCATGAAATTCATCTGGAAAAATAAGAGACCCAGAGTAGCTAAAGCAACCCTTAGCAGGAAGAGTGATACAAGTGGTATCACTATACCAGATCTTAAACTATACTACACAGCAATAGTGACATAAACAGCATGGCATTGGCACCAAAACAGACTGGTAGAACAATGGTACAAAATAGAGGACACAGAGACTAACCCATAAAATTACAATTATATTAGACAAAGACTCCAAAAACATGCATTGGAGAAAAGATAGCCTCTTCAACAAATGGTGCTGGGAAAACTGGAAATCCATATGCAACAAAATAAAATTAAACCCCTCTCTCTCACCATGCACAAAACTCAACTCAAAATGGATCAAGGACCTAGGAATAAAACTAGAGACCCTTCATCTAACAGAAGAAAAAGTAGGCCTTAGTTTCCATCATGTGGGATTAGACCCCAACTTCCTTAATAAGACTCCTTTGGTGCAAGAATTAAAATCAAGACTCAATAAATGGGACGGACTCAAGCTAAAAAGTTTCTTCTAAGCAAAAGAAACAATATGTGAAGTGAATAGAGAGCCTACGTCTTGGGAACAAATCTTTGCCCTCACACATCAGATAGAGGACTAATCTCTAGGGTATATAAAGAACTCAAAAAGCTAAACACCAAAAAAACAAATAACCCAATCAATAAATGGGCCAAGGATCTGAACAGACACTTCTCAGAAGATGATATACATCATCAACAAGTATCTGAAAAAATGTTCATCATCACTAGCAATTACAGAAATGCAAATCAAAACTACTCAAGATTTCATCTCACTCCAGTCAGAATGGCAGCTATTATGAATACAAAGAACAATAAGTGTTGGCGAGGATGTGGGAAAAAAGTTACACTTATACACTGCTGGTAGGACTGCAAATTGATGCAGCCAATATGGAAAGTAGTATGGAGATTTCTTGGAAAATTGGGAATGGAACCACCATTTGACCCAGCTATCTATACCTGAAGGACTTAAGAACTGCTTACTACAGGGACACGGGTACATAAGTGTTTATAGTAGCACAATTCACAATAGCTAAACTGTGGACAACCTAGATGCCCTTCAACAGATAAATGGATAAAAAAAAAAAGTGGCCTATATACATTATGGTATGTTACTCAGCAGTAAAAGAGAACAAAATTATTGCATTTGCAGGTAAATGGATGGAGTTAGAGAAGATGATTTTAAATGAAGTTAGCCAATCCCAATAAAAAAAAATGCCAAATGTTTTCTCTGATATAAAGAGGCTGATTTACAGTGAGGTAGGGAGGGGGAGCGTGGGAGGAATAGGTGAACTCTAGATAGGGCAGAGGGGTGGGAGGGGAAGGGAGGGTGCAATGATGGTGGAAATGATGGTGGAACGTGATGGATATTATTATCCAAAGTACATGTATAAAGACACAAATTGGTGTGAATATACTTTGTATGCAACCAGATATGAAAAACTGTACTCTATATGTGTAATAAGAATTGTAATACATTCTACTGTCATACATAAATAAAAAATAAAAAAATAAAAAAATGTCTAACCACTGATTTGGGTTATATTGAGATGTATAAAATTACATACTTTTCTCTAGATACCTATTTAAGAAAAATTAAACAGATACCCTTTCTTATAACTTCTTTTTAAAAGAGATAATTTTTAAAAGAGGTAATTTATTAATTAACAATGCATATTAACGTTATGATAATTGCTGACAATGTGCTAGACGCTGAAAAGTTTAAGTGAACTATTATAGACTTTAAGAAAAGTTATGGCTTAGGAAGGGAAATGAGATAGTCATTCAGAGCCTCTAATTTATGATAGAAACTAGCAAGAGGCACGAGAGCATAGAGCAGAACATGATGACTTCTGCTTGGGAAGAAAAGGACATTTTTCATTAAGGATGTGACATTTCAAAGGTTTTAAAGGTCAGATTTAGATAAGCAAAGAATAGGATTGAAAAGAAAGGGAAGCTCAGAGTGATTAGAAGCAGAAATGTGAAGACATGTTTAAGGGGCTACAAGTCCCAGGGCTTACCTGGTGACTACTTGGTAGTTGAGCATACAGCTGGCAATAGGTAGGTGGCCTATTACTACAAAGGCCAACTGAGGCAAAAGGCAAAGAATATCTCAGATCTATTAAAATATAGTTGAGGACATATCAATATAGACAAAACAGACATTTCTCTTTAAAAGTATATTGAGAGCATTAGTATACTTAACATTGATATGATCTAACATTTAGATAAATAATGTTTGGATTGTTTTCCACCAAGTAGGCTGAAGTCTTAATTTCAGAGTATTAAGAAAAATTTTGACTTTGGAAATATATAAATGGTTTCAAAGTATTCAGAGAATTCTGGTTTTGGATTGATACTGGGTCAGTAAAACATATCCTAAAATCAGGAAAGTCACTCATGGTTTATATATTTAAATTGTGGCATTCTTTCTGGATGTGTAAATTTATAAACTTCAAAGCCTAGTTTTTTTTATTATCTCCTCTCAATGACTTGATATTTTGGTCAAAATTCACTATATTAGTTTTCTTTCCTTACTGGCTT